CCTCAGCCTCCCAAAGGCGCGGGATTACAGGCTGAGCCACCGAGCCCGGCTGTCATTTTACACAGAATGCGGCATCAAGTATAGAACAGTGGAAACTGAGGTAAATAGAATGTGTTCCTGGAGATAGGCACAGCTTTTCTTTTACAAGGCCACTAGTGTAGGATTGAGTCAGACAAGTCAGAAGTTGTGCTTCTGGGGTTTGGATTTTGTTGTTGCTGTGGTCCCTGTGTACCACTGACTTCAGATTTCTCTAGTTGCCTTGTGCGGTTGTTCCAAAGATATTTTCTCAATAGTCCTTCTCTGCCCTCAGCAGCTGACCTTCCTTGTGTACTGCCTACTTCTCAGAGAGGGAGGGTTTATCTATGCCCTCACTTCTCACCCAGTAGTAGTAGTAAATTGCTGCTACCTGTTAGCCTAGTGAGGTGAGGCAGAACTGGAAGGTCCTGGGTTGTCCTATCCAGCTTCAGTATTAAGGAGGGTTTTTCCTCCCCGGTTTTCAGAGATGGGCTTTATCAGGAGCCCTGACCATCTTCCGGGAGTTGGAGAAATCTGTGGGCAGGGTCACAGAAGTTGTCTTGCCCTTCTCTTAGGGGCAGAGTTTTTTCTGTTCCATTTTCCTAGTGTCAGTGGATCTTGACCTGTAACCTGAGAATGACAGAGTTTGCTGCTCTTCTGCCTCAGCAGTTTAAGGCTCCTGTTTTTTAGGAGACAAGTGTGTGGGAGGGGCCATCTGCCTTTTCCTCAACAGTGGGCCTTCCCCTTCTCCAGGCCTCGGCCACCACATCAAGGGAGGCTTTCTCTGGTCTCCTGCTCCTGTGAGCACACAGTAGAAGTCCACAGAAAACACCTTTGAGGTGGTATGAACTCACCTGTGTCTGAATCTTCCAAGGGCTCAATACTTGTTTAACATGGAGCTGAGTTTGTCTTACCTACCTGTTTGGGTCTGTTTCTGTGCTTTGCAGCAGTGAGCCAGAGTTTGTGTTTTGTCTCTTCTCAGAGGTACTGGGTTTTCCTTAGATTTCAGGCTAGCTGGTTGCCCTGCAATTTCAGTTTCTGGGATGTGCAATACAAGTGATAATTGTGTACATTACCCAGTTTTGTTAGGATAGGAGTGATGTTCTGTCCCACTTTCTGCATTGTAGATAGAAACTGAAAAACTAGTTATAAGTATGGCTGCAATAAAAACTAGAAATGGTGGGTCATATAGTGTGTGCCATCTTAGATTGAGTAAAAGATGCTGTCATTTTTGTAATCAGAAAAAAATCATAGAAAAATATGAGTCATGGAGATGTGAATGTTTTTAGAATATTCATAGAAAACTGACTAAAGAGAAAATTTTGAAAGGTGGTGACCATGAATTTGGAACATTCATGATTTTCCCTTACAACCAAGCACATTCAAGTAAGGATATTACTAATATGGCGTAGTCCTTTGGTTCTTGACCATTTGTGTCCCATCTGATCATTTCAGCTTAAGAAAGTGTTTTTGTTCTTTTTCAGCACCTCGAGCGCCAACCAACTGGAGATTGGGCAAACTGCTTGGCCAAGGAGCCTTTGGCAGGGTCTACCTCTGTTATGATGTTGATACAGGAAGAGAATTGGCTGTTAAGCAAGTTCAGTTTGACCCCGACAGCCCTGAGACCAGCAAGGTAAAGATCACTGCAGAAATGACTTTGTCACGTTATAAAGAAACATTTTTGGTTTTTTTAGGCCAGGCGTGGTGGCTCACGTCTGTAATCCTAGCACTTTGGGAGGCCATGGCAGGATGATTGCTTGAGTCCAGGAGTTCAAGACCAGCCTAGGCAACATAATGAGACCCCGTCTGTACAAAAATTTAAAAAAAAAAAAAATTATCCAGGTTTAATTTATGTGCCTGTAGTCCTAATTACTTGGGAGGCTAAGGCAGAAGGATCGCCTGAGTCCAGGGGGTGCAGGCTGTGGTAAGCTGTGATTGAGCCACTGCACTTCTGCCTGAGCAATAGAGTAGGACCCTGACTCAAAAAAATAAATAAAAAGCATTTTTTACTAAAAAGCCAATATAACATGCAGTGGAATTTTGGGGTTTTTTTCTTAGTATAAATTATTTGCAGAACAATCAGATAATTTGTTTATCTACTTTGTACTGTGGATTTTTCTTTTTAATACTTCAGTTATATTCCTATTCTAATTTAGTGTTGCTTTAGCATACCATCAGTGACTGGTTAAAAAGTTATTGGTTAGAGACTTCAAAATGTTTGTTCCTTCAGAGATAAAAATTTCAGAATGAAATCACCTTAATAGTACCTGAAGTTAGAATTTTTTGCTTTTACTAACACTGTTGAAAAGACTTAACAGTGAGTTCTGTTTTTCAGGAAGTAAATGCACTTGAGTGTGAAATTCAGTTGTTGAAAAACTTGCTGCATGAGCGCATTGTTCAGTATTATGGCTGCTTGAGGGATCCCCAGGAAAAAACACTTTCTATATTTATGGAATATATGCCAGGGGTAAGTTAGTACATCTATTTAAAATCTTAGTTGATGAAAGAAAATAAACAAGAGTTTAGATGCTAAAATGTTAATAACCCTAATTAAGGACATTTTGGAAAAGTTTTAAATTAAAGCTGGATAATATCTTATTCCTGTACTCTTCATCTGTTTTTGTATTTTTTAACTCATTAATGCTGAAATATTCTAAAGTAGGTTACAGATATCATAGCAGTCTATCTTGCCTTAAATGCCCCCAAATGCCAATTATAGCAGATATATTCAAACTAGATTCCAGTCTAGGATCATACATTACATTTAATTGTTATGTCTCTTAAGTCTCTTTTTTTGTAGAGCAGTCAATTTTTACATGATATAGATTTGACAAAGAGACCAAGATAGCTGTTCTGTTGAGTCTTATCTCGTAAATTTATTTGGTTGCATTCTCATGGATTTTGTTAAATTTGTTCCTTTATCCCTTTATTTCCTATAAGCTCCAAGTTAGAGCTGATGTCTAAGTTATAGTCCAGCTGAACATTTTTTATTTGATACATCCGAGATGAAACTGTGAACTTCATGTTGCATTTTATCAGGAGACATACAGTTTCTAGTTGTTTCACTATAGGAGTGCTTAAGATTGACCATAGATGATTGATATCTTGATTCCAGCATTGTGGTTTTGTTTTGTTCTGCAGACTAGAAAATAATCTGAGGTCCAGTACTTTTTTAAGGCTGTAGTTTGAGCTATGGATCAGTGAAACTGTTTCTGGACCAAGATCTTATAATAATGTTCTTAACTATTCTCAGTATCACAAGAGCAACAGTAAATTTGTTTCTTATCATTATGAGTGATTATTTGTTCACAGTGACACCATTGTTAACCAGTGGGTTATCATTACTACCTCCTTGTTATTTTAAAATATTATAGCCGGGCTCGGTGGCTCAGCCTGTAATCCCGCGCCTTTGGGAGGCTGAGGTGAGTGGATTGCCTGAGCCCGTGGGTTCAAGACCCGCCTGGGCAGCGAGACCTCATCTCTACAATAAATCAAAAAATCAGCCGGGCGTGGTGGTGCATGCCTGTAATTCCAGCTACTCGGAAGGCTGAGGCAGAAGGATCGCCGGAGCCCAGTGGGTCGAGGCTGTGGTGGCCGGGAGCGGCCACTGCACTCCAGTCTGGGCGACAGAGTGAGACTCCCACTCAAAAAATAAATAAATAAATAAAATAAAATATTATATTGCCAGGATGGGCATGGTGGCTCATGCCTGTAATCCCAGCCCTTTGGGAAGCCAAGGTGAGAGGTTTGCTTGACCCCAGGAGTTTGAGACCATCCTAGGCAACATAGCGAGATCTTGTCTCTACAAAAAAAAAAAATCAAAAAATTAGTCGGACATGGTTGCATGCACCTGTAGTCCCAGCTACTTGGGAGGCTGAGGTGGAAGGATCACCTGAACCCCAAAGATCAAGACTGTGGTGAGTTGTGATTATTCTATTGCACTCCAGCCTGGGCAACAGAATGAGACCCCAACTCAAAAAGAAATTTTTTTTTTATATAAAAAAAAAAAATTCTGTTGCCAATGTAAATTGGTTTTTAAATATCCTCTTTGGAAAACAAACTGAGAAATATATTAAAGATCTTAAAAATATTGAAGCCTTTTAACTTGGTAGTTTCACAGAAATGTATTCTACAAAAGTAATCCAAAAGAAAGGAAAAATTCTGTACATTTAGTACTATCTGTGTTGGAGAAAAACGGAAATATTAGTGCCCACAGTGGAAGCAAGTCATGATGGTATTGTGTTAAAAATAAAAATTATGAAGGCCGTCTAGTAAAGTTGGAAGAAGTACTTGTGGTGTGTGTGTGTGTGTGTGTGTGTGTGTGTGTGTTTTGAGTCAGGGTCTTACTGTGTTGCCCAGACAGGAATGCAGTGGCATGATCACAGCTCACCGCTTCCTGAAACTGGTGGGCTAAAGCAGTTCTCCCTCCTCAGCGTCCCAAGTAACTGGGACCACTGGCACGTGCCACCATACCTGACTAATTTATTTATTTTTTTGTAGAGACAAGGTCTTGCTCTGTTGCCCAGGTTGGTCTTGAACTCCTGGGCTCAAGCAATCCTCCCGCTTCAGCCTCCCCAAGGATTACAGGTGTGAACTGCCGTGCCTGACTGAGAAAGTATTTGAAATAAGAGAGAAGAATATAAAGTACTATTTAATGACGATCATGATATTAACAATGTATCTGTATTTGGACAAGGATAGAAGAAACTTAGAAAATGAAAGTGTGTTGAGATTGTGATATGTTTTTCTCCTATGTAGATTTCCATTACTGTTTGTGACATAAATATTTAAATGAAAATAGAAAATAATTACACATAAGTACAAATAAAGACCCAGACTGCTGAAAATAAAACTGATTAAAACATTTAAGCCGGGTGCGGTGGCTCACACCTGTAATCCCAGCATTTCAGGAGGTGAAGGTGAGAGGATTGCCTGAGCCCATGGGTTTGGGACCAGCCTCAGCAACATGGCGAGACTTCAACTCTACAATAAACCAAAAACTTAGCTGGGTGCATACCTGTAGTTCCAGTTACTTGGAAGACTGAGGGGGAAGGATTGCCTGAGCCCAGCGGGTTGAAGTGGCCATGAGCGTGCCACTGAACTCCAGCCTAGGTGACAGAGTGAGACTGACTAAAAAAAAAAAAAAAAAAAACACTTAGTTGACTAAAACTGATTTACGTTACAAATGGAGTTGTGTAATTTTTATATATTTAGTCATCTTAAGACTAAATCAGGACTATTTAGGAAGAGGCAGTAGATCGTGTTTCTCGTTAGATACCCATGGTTTTATAAGGACATCCATCTTCTTCAAAGCATAAATTGTCATTCCTTGAATTTGAAAAACACATTGCTAAACTAATAATAACTCATTAGCTAGGTGCGGAGGCTCAAACTCGAAATCCCAGCACTTTGGGAGGCAGATGCGAAATGATTGCTTGAGCTCAGGGATTCAAGACCAGCCTGAGCAACATGGCGAGACCTTGTCTCTACAATAAATAAAAAAATTAGCCGGGCGTGATGGCACACACCTGTAGTTCCAGCTACTTGGGAGGCTGCGATAGAGAGATCACCTGAGCCCAGCAAGTGGAGGCTGCAGTGGCCGGGAGTGTGCCACTGCACTCCAGCCTGGGCGACAGAGTGAGACTCCAACTCGAAAAAAAAATCAATAACTTGTTGGTAATCTAAATGGTTTATACAACATATGGTAAGCTCATGGCAGTCACTAGACAGGTACATGATCCTGGACTTCCTTGAAATCCCAAGCTTGTGAATGATGACGTACAATTTCTCTCATTAAACTTAGTGTGATGCCCAACCCACTCATGGTAGCCACACACCAAAAATAAAATCCCTTGACGTTCATCTAACCAAAGCGATGGAAGATCTTTACAATGAGAACTACAAAACACTGCTCTAAGACATCAGATAGGACACAAAGGGAAGAACATCCTGTGGTCATGGATTAGAAGAATTAATATTGTCAAGATGTCCATTCTACCCAAGGCAATCTATAGATTCAGCTCAATTCCTGTCAAACTACCAGCATCATTTTTCACAAACACAGAAAAGACAATATTGAAGCCAAAAAGAGCCCAAATAGTTAAGGCCAAGGCTGGAGGCATCATACTTCCAGACTTCAAACTTCGCTACAAGGCTACAGCAGCCAAGCTAGCATGGTACTGGTATAAAAATAGACACTTAAACCAATGGATCAGGGACAGAGAATCCAGAAATAAAACCGCAGACCTTCAACCAACTCATCTTGGACAAAGCTGACCAAAACAAACACTGGGGAAAGGAAACCATATTTAGCAAATAGTGCTAAGAAAACTGACTGACCACATGCAGAGGAATGAAGTTTGACCCCTACCTATCACCATATGCAAAAATTAACTCAAAATAGATCGAGGATTTAAATGTGAAACCTCAAACTATGAGAATTTTAGAAGAAACCTAGGAATTACCCTCCTGGACATTGGCCTAGGCTATGAATTTATGACCAAGTCCTCAAAAGCAAATGCAGCAAAATATAAAATTGACAGATCGGACCGTATCAAGCTTACAAGTTTTTGCATAGCAGAAGAAACCATCAAGAGAGTAACAGACAGCTCACATACTGGGAAAAATTATTTGTAAGTTATGTATCCTACAAAGGCCTAACATCCAGGATCCATAGGAACTCAAACGAATTGAGTTTGAGTTTCTCTTTTCCTAAAGGAAAAAAAAAACAAAAACCAATAACCTCATTAAAAAGTGGGCAAAGGGCAGACACTCCTTAAAGTAAGACATACAAGTAGCCAACAAACGTGAAAAAATGCTCAGCTTCACTATTGGAGAAATGTCAATCAGAACTACAGTGAGATGCCAGTTGACATCCATCAGGATGGCTATCATTTAAAAGTCAAAAACAACAGATGTTGATGAGACTAGAGAGAAAAGGAAATGCTCCTACACTGTTGATGGTAAGCTAGTTCAGCCTTTGTTGAAAGCAATGTGGTGATTTCTCAAAGGACTTAAAAATTAAGCTACCATAGGATCCAGCAAACCCACTCTTGAGAGCATACCCAGAGGAACGTAAGTCACTTTACCGGAAAGTCACCTGCATGCGTATGTTTTTTGCCTCACTATTCACAATAACAAAAATATGGAACCAACCCAGATGCCCATTGAAAGTGGACTAGGTGAAGAAAATGTGGTTCATGCTATCTGTAATAGAATACTATGCAGTCTTAGAAACAACAACAAAAAAAAATCATGCCCTGTGCAGCAACGTGGATGCAGCCAGAGACCATTGTTCTAAGTGAACTGTCACAGAAATAAAAAACTGAATACTGCATGTTCTCACTCATAAGTGGGCAGGAGGGCACAAAGGTGGGAGCAACAGATGCTGGGCACTGCTATAGGAGGGAGGGGGGATAAGGGACACACAGCCACCCGTTGGATACTATGTTCACTGCTTGGGTGGGGTAGAGGGCTCAGGAGAAGTCCAGACTTGGCCTTCACACAATTCACTTATGTAGCAAATCCTCACATGTGCCCCACAACTCTTAAAAAAATTAGTGTGGTGCCCTAGATTCAAGCTTTTTCAAAATTGTCATTCCATTCTTCAGTTTTCAGACTTAGTATTTCACTCCTTAGTTTATCTAGAACTACTTTCAGACGTAGAACTATAACTTTCTTTTACTTTCAGTATCTGGACTAGCACTTGGCTTCCCTCTATTACTTTTTCACACACACACACACACACACACACACACACACATTCTTTTTAAGGCAGTGTTTCTCAACCTGTTTCAGTTGTACACACTGAAGTTAACATTTTGATAGTATATGGGCTAAGCGGTATACACTGATAGAGCTATTAGTAGCCATAGGCCACTGACCCAGTTGTCCAGAGGGTCCATAACTCTGTTATTTATTTGTCACCCTACAGGTATTTTTTGGCCTATTGTTTGGAAAGCTCTGTTTTAGCAGAGTTATTCTGTGTATTAATACAAGTAGAGACACAGTAAATAGACTGTGAACAAACAAGCCACATTGAATTGTAGATGTGAGTGGTTGACTGGGCACATCCACTGCCTAAGGCTTTCCATATGAGTGTTTGCAGTTTGGTTCACTGAATTGCAAACTGTTCCTTCTCCAGGCATGGCTCATGAATAGTGGAAATGACAAATGGTTAAATCTGTAAAATCCAAGGATCTACCTTCATATGACAGAGTTCATGATTTACCAAGATTCAAGGAAAGGCAGAAACAATAGGATATCTTTTCTTATTGAAAAGAGATTTGTCCTTCAGGAAGCACTTATTCTCCTCTAAAAGAGGATCTTGATATCTTATAAAAAGTGATGAGTATTAATCAAGCTTGCACATTGAAATCACTAGAGAAGCTTTTTAAGAATTCGAGTACCTATGTTCGAGACTGATTCTGCATTCTCAGAGATGGCACCTCATCCTGTCCTAAGAAACACTTAAGAAAATTTGAAATTTCCCTTTAATATATATTTTTTATGTCTTAAACTCGAGTATTGAATATATAAAGAAAAAACTTAAAAATCTTACATGTGTTGTGATTTTCTGATCATGCCCATTATTTCTTCTAAGACATAAAGGCAGCAGATGTCAATACAAACTGAAAACTATAAAACTTGGGCGGTGGCTCAAACCTGTAATCCCAGCACTTTGGGAGGCTGAGGCAAGAGGATTGCCTGAGCCCAGGGGTTTGAGACCAGCCTGGGCAACTTGGTGAGTCCTTGTCTCTACAATAAATTAAGAAAAATTAGCCAGGCTTGGTGGCACATGCCTGTAGTTCCAGCTACTTGGAAGTCTGAGGCAGCAGGTCGAGGCTGTGATGGCCATGAGTGTGCCACTGCACTCCAACCTGGGCAACAGAGTGAGACTCAAAAAAAAAAAAAAAAAAAGCACTGTTAAAAAACAGAATAGCAACAAAATAAGTAAAATTCAAGTAGGACATGCTTAGATAAGTGAGTAGAAAAAACAAAAATATATTCAAGACAAAAGAAAAAGCAAGATAAAAGTACTTGAGAATTTTTTAAAACAGGATTACAAGGAATAGGAGATAGAGTCACCATAATCATAGAAACAAGAGCATTGGTCAAAAAATACTTTTTAAAGGCTTTCTTTAGCTGTAACCTAAAGTCTTCACCTTCCACAGATCTAGTCAGGGAATGTGGATGACTTTTATGTTAAATTGTATGGCCTATTATGTCTTTACTGAGATTTCCTGCCCTCTCCAACTACAGCCTCCTAGTCATGAACTAGGACTCTTAAAAAAGTTAGACTCGGCTGGGTGCAGTGGCTCAAGCCTGTAATCCCAGCACTTTGGAAAGCTGAGGTGAGGGGATTGCCTGAGCCCACAGGTTCAAGAACAGCTTGGGCAACTTGACGAGACCTCATCTCTACAATAAATCAAAAAATTAACCAGGCATGGTAGTGTGCGCCTGTAGTTCCGGCTACTTGAAAGGCTGAGACAGAAGGATCGCCTGAGCCCAGGGGTCGTTGCCAGGGTGACCATGAGCATGCTACTGCACTCCAGCTGACTTTTAAAAAGAGTTAGGCTAGGTACAGTGACTCATGCCTGGAGGGTCACTTGAGGCCGCAAGTTCGAGGCTAGCCTGAGCAACATAGCTCAGTTTTTATTTAACCGTTTTTATTGACATCTGCTGCCTTTATTTCTCAGAAGAGGTAATGGGCATGATTAGAAAATCAGAATACATGTAAGGTTTTAAAGTTTTTTCTACAAAAAAATGGGGGGGAAAGTCAGCTGGGTGTGGTGGCACATACCTATAGTCCCAGCTACTCAGGAGGCTGAGGCAGGAAGATCACTTGAGCCCAGGAGGTTGAGGCTTCAGTGAACTTTGATTGCACCACTGCATTCCATTCTGGGCAAAAGAACAAGACCCTGTGTCTAAAAAATTTTTTTAAATAAAAACAAAGATTTAATAGTGGTTTTCATTTCAAACCACACAATAGCTTTGTTGTTGTTTTCTGTTATTCTAGGGTTCAATTAAGGACCAATTAAAAGCTTATGGAGCTCTTACTGAGAATGTGACTAGGAAATACACTCGTCAGATTCTGGAAGGTGTTCATTATTTGCACAGTAACATGATTGTTCATAGAGATATCAAAGGTAAGTAGTACGGTATTTTTTAAGTACACAGTTCTTTGTTAATGTGAATGAAACAAGTGATATGGTTAAGACATTAAACCTTTAAATTAACATTACTGGTGTGAGCCACTGTGCCTGGCCAAAAAAGTCTCCTCATCTACCTCTAAAATATCACAGGGAAGGCAGGCGTAGTAGCTTATGCCTGTAATCCCAGCACTTTGGGAGGCAGAAGCAAGAGGATTGTCTGAGTCCCGGGGTTCAAGACCAGCCTGGGCAACCTGGTGAGATCTCGTCTCTACAATAAATGAAAAAATTAGCTGGGTGTGGTGGAGCACACTTGTGGTTCCACTACTTAGAAGGCTGAGGCGGAAGGATCACCTGAGCCCAGTAGGTCAAGGCTGCGGTGGCTGCGAGTGTACCATTGCACTCCAGCCTGGGCGACAGAGTGAGACTCTGACTCAAAGAAAATAAAAATAAATAAATGAATCACAGGGAAATGGTTCTCTTGCTTTTCCATGGACTCCATTAGTGTTCCATCAGATCAGTTCTGGTCTCCACAAGTGGGCGGCTCTGTTTTAGGGGGTTCACAAAATCAGTAAAGTTTAAAAGACCATACCAGTGAGCCCAGGCTTACACCTTGCATAGACATTAGGCTAGAATGGCTAAGAGTAGGGCCTCTGCCACCACATGACCTGATTCAAATTCAGGCTTTATCCGTCACTAACTCTGTGGCCTTGGACACGTTACTCAATCTCTGTATGCCTTAGTTCCTTGTTCTTAAATGAGAGAGAGAATGTATCCAGCTCATAGAATTCTTGTAAGGATTAAATGAGTTAGTATATGTAATATGCTTAAAACTGCCTGGTACCTAGAAAGTTCTCAAAAGTTAGTTACAGTGGTGTGACATACTTTATTTTGAGATCAAACTTAAAGTCATGGGAATAGAAGTCGTTACCTAGAGAAGGAATAAAGAGGAGGGAAGAACAAAGCCCCGAACTGAGCTTTGATGAACTCCAACTCTGTTAAACTCACTTTTTAAAACTCAAAAACTCAACTGTTTTCAGGGATCAGGTATGTAAATAAATACATAAAGTGACACAACAGTGAGTGATGGGGATTGAGTACTTAAAACTCTACTCTGCAGAGCATACCTGGAAGTTTCATTCTGTAAAAAGTGGGTTGTGACCCCAAATTTAGAAATCACTTTATTAATCAGTGAAAATAATAAACAAATAGCCTGACGTGATATGCATCTGTTGTCTCAGCTACTCAGGAGGCTATAAGCAGACAACGTAGTTTCTTCATAAACTGCAAAGAGAAAAAGGAAATTAGAGTCAGCTGTAGTCTAGGAAAGACTTAATAGGTCTATCAGTGAGTCTTTGTATGGATCTTATTTGGATTTTGATGTCTTTAATGTAACAAATTGAGCATCAGCTATATATTTCATAATACTAAGAAATTATTCATCCTCTTAGTTGTAAGAATCCTTATCTTTTAAAGATATGTTCTGAACTATTTATTGATCATGATGTCTTGAATTTTGCTTCAAATTCTAGAGAGGAGAAGGAAGAGTGGTTGGCAGTATGGTTGGGCAGGATTGTCCAGAGGTTGGGGCTGGCTGGTGGCTGCATAGACTGTTTTACTTTTGTGTATGTTTAAAGTCTCCTTTTTAAATTAAGAAAAAAAAATTTTTTTTTTAGAGACAATGTCTCAGTCTTTCACTCAGGCTGGAGTGTAATGACACAATCACAGCTCGCAGCAGCCGCAAACTCCTGGGCTCAAGTGATCTTCCACTTCAGCCTACCGAGTAACTGAGACTACAGGCATGTCCTACCATGCCCGGCCAATTTTTTATTTTTCTTTTTTTGTGGAGACAGAGTCTTCCTACATTGCCCAGGCTGATCTCAAACTTCTGACTTGAAGCAATCCTTCTGCCTCAATCTCCTAAAGTGCTAGGATTACTGGTGTGAGCCACTGTGCCTAGCCAAAAAAAGTCTCCTTAGTAACTTACTTTTAACTTATCTAAAATAAGTTTTTAAAAAGTAGAAAACTATGTTGGGAACTTGGCTGCCTATTTTCTCCTCATGACCTCCTGTGGATGTGCATTGGTTCAGCATTGGCGGTTTCTTCCAGAAATACTTCTCCCTGTGTGTGACCTACCTGGGTCTTCTTCCTCACTCATAGTCCTGCTTGTAGTCAGCAAAACTGACTTGTTTGTTGTCCTTCCACTGGTTAAATCTTTTAGAGATGGTGGCTTTTTTGGCTGCCCTTTTTAAAGTATTCTGGATAGTAGGAGATGTGAAATAGGCAACGCGGTTTTAGAGTATCACTAGGACTGAGGCACATTTAAGCTTAAGTCATGTGGAGAATGGATCCTGAACTCTCCCCTGGAGAGACTTTGGAGAACCATCATGGACTAGACTGGAGAATTTGCTGGGAGAACAGAAAGATAAGTACAGAAGCTCCTAAGAAGGGTAGGAAGTCTATATTATCTCCAGTCTATAATGTAGTTTTTTTTTCTTTTTTGAATCGGGTCTTACTCTTCACCCAGGCTGGAGTATGGTGACATGATTACAGCTAACCGCAGCCTCAAACTCCTGGGTTTAAGTAGTCCTTCCGCCTCAGCCTCCCAAGTAGCTTGAACTATAGGCACATGCCACCATGCCTAGCTAATTTTTTTATTTTTTGTAGAGATGAGATCTTGCTTTGTTGCCCAGGCTGTTCTTGAACTCCTGGGCTCAAGCAGTCCTCTCACCTCACCCTTCCAAAGTGCAGGGCTTACAGGCCTGGCCCATAATGTAGATTTTTCTACACCATTCACTCTTCTTCTTAGAGACCTTTTGTTCCCCCCGAAGTATAGAAGACAAAAAAAAGAATATTTTTTTATTTTTTGATGTAAAATCTGGTTAGTGTTATGGAAGGCGTAAACATAAGAACTGAAAAAATAAAATTAGATAAAGTAAATGGCTTATTGAAAAACTAGTCATTTATGGGAAAAGTTAAAAATGAGAAAAGAAATAATTTTTAAAAGATAGAAGCTAGACTCATAATCCCAGAAAAAAAGACTGAGTTTTGAAAGTGATAAGGAGGAAGCTAGAGAATAAAAAAACTAATGAACCTCGTGCCAAGATCTTGGTTTTGAGACCATTCACAGCAATAAAGCCAAGCCTCCTTGGCGAGGTGACTGATTCTGGGACTGGTACAGGATATACACAAGATGCCAGGAATATCTTCTAGTGCCAGAAAAAGAAAGTGCTCAAAAATAACTCCCCAAACAAAAACAAGAATACAATGATGGGGGTATGGCAAAGGGACACAGGAGCCATACCCCTATGGGAAAAGAACTCCCAGTGGCCAAAGCTGATACAACTGGAGCAGTGGTTTTGGGTTATCACCCAAAGTTATAAAATAAATATCCTGCATTCATGGTGATATGAACGAATGATTTAATAAATGGGAGAAGGGAGACAAATCTCCCCTGCAGAATAATTCCAAATAATGTATGTAGCTACTCAGCCTGGAGCATAACTCCCTATTCCTGAATCGTGGGCTATACATGGCGAATGTCTTCCGAATGTATGTGTGGAAAGAGCAGACAGGGAGAAGGACTTTGCAGTGAAGAACCCGACGAGCACCACCTCAAGCCAGGTGATCAAGATCAACATGAACAGTGTTGTTGGCAGTGTGTGTCTTTACGGCCATGTGATGAAGCCTGGCATGGTGGCTCGTGCCTGTAATCCCAGGACTTGTGGGAGGTGGAGGCGAGAGGACTGCGTGAGTCCAAGGGTTCAAACCAGCCTAGGCAACTTGCGAGACCTTGTCTCCACCATAAATTTTAAAAATAAAAATTAGCCAGACGTGGTGACACACGCTTATGGTTCTAGCTACTTTGAAGGCTGAGGCAGATGAATTGCCTGAGCCCAGCAGGTCAAGGCTGCCCTGAGCATGCCATTGCACTCCAGCCTGGGTGACAGAGTGAGACTCTGACTCAAAAAAAAAGAAAAAAAAGATCATGTGATGAGAATGGCACTTTTCCTGTTGGTCTTTCTCCCAAAAACTTATAGCCCTAGACTAATCATGAGAAAACCATGAACCAAATGCTCATTGAACATTCTCCAAAAACCTCAGAAACGTGAGGCCGTCAAAAACAAGAAAAGTCTGAGGAAGAGTATTATTTAAGAGGAGCCTAAGGAGACATGATGGTGAAAGGTAGCCTGGGATCCTGAGACAGAAAAAGGACATTCGGGAGAAACTGAGGCGATCCAAACGAAGTGTGGACTTCAGTTAATAATAGTGTGTTGATACTGGTGCGTTAATTGTGACCGATATGCCATACAAATACAAGATGTTTAATAGGGAAACTGGGTGTGGGGTGTATGGAATTCTCTATGCTCTTTGCAATAAGTCCGAAAATCTACAACTGTCCAAAATACAAAGTTTGTTGTAAAAGTAAATGAAATTTTAAAACTGAGGGAAATCTCAAATATTAAAATATTGGGAATTGAGAGGTAAAACTAATATCAAGCAAGACTTCCTAGGAAGAAAACTTTAAAATAAGTAACAGCAGTGGGGGGAGGGAAGTGCTCGAAGCTTTGGAGGATGAAGCTCCCTCGAAAGTTCCTGGGGGAAAGCTGGCTTCTCAGGGAAGCAGCTTCAGCCGTGGGCTTCTTACTTTATGGCAGAGAGCCTGGGGCCCCGAATCTGTGTTTCCTTGTCCGTTCCTGAGCTTCATTCTTAGGCCTTTTCGCCTTTCCCTCTTCACCTTCACCTCCAAGCTGCGCCAGCCCTTTTCTGTCTTGAGCGTACACAGGCTGCCCTAAACATTCAGCGTTCGTGCAGCTGATCCTTAATGAGCACCAGCTGTGTAACTGGCATTCTGTTGGCTGCTGCTAGGAAGGAGAGCGTCTTCATCTTGGAGACAGATCGAAGCGTCTGTGGAGTAAATCTCGACTGTTGCTCCTTTATATTCCAGACTGCCAATAAAATTAATGAAATTAGTCTGTTTCTTATTTTTAGGCGCAAATATCCTGCGAGATTCAACAGGCAACGTCAAACTAGGAGATTTTGGGGCCAGCAAACGGCTTCAGACCATCTGTCTCTCAGGGACAGGAATGAAGTCTGTCACAGGCACACCGTACTGGATGAGCCCTGAAGTAATCAGTGGTGAAGGTTATGGCAGAAAAGCAGATATCTGGTAGGTTTTGATGTGATATGCTGGAAACTACCTGCCACTTTATTTATTTCCAGCCAGGATTGAAATTACTGAGGCAAATTTAGATTATCTTTTGTACTTTTGAAATAGGATGTAAGAATTGCAAGGATTTACACCATTTTAATATTATTACTCATTGAGGCTTATAATTGACTATAGTCCTTGAACTTATCTTTCTTTCTCTTTTTTTTTTCTCTCCTACTTTTTATGTTAGAATTGTGGGGTATAAGTCAGGGTTAGGTATACGAATACTCATCGTGCAGGCGCCCTTAGTGATGAGGTATGCCCCCATCTTTCATTCGTTAGGAAGAGTTTTGTCTTAAGCAAAGCTCAACATTGAAAACCTACTTTTAGCCGGACTCTGTGGCTCAGCCTGCAATCCAGCGCCTTTGGGAGGCTGAGGTGAGCGGATGGCCTAAGCCCGCGGGTTCGAGACCCGCCTGGGCAGCGGGACCTCATCTCTGCAATAAATCAAAAAATCAGCCAGGCGTGGTAGCACATGCCTGTAATTCTGGCTACTCAGAAGACTGAGGCGGAAGGATCGCCGGAGCCCAGCAGGTCGAGGCTGCAGTGGCTGGGAGCGGCCCCTGCACTCCAGTCTGGGCGACAGAGTGAGACTCTGACTCAAAAACAAAAAAAGCCCTACTTTTATTTTATTTCCCTGAAGAACTTTAAAAGTAATTAATCCGTGTTGTCAGTATCTTGGAATTCAATTAATGTTTACCTTCTTAATAATTTTAAGTTAAAAGAAGAAAAATGGCCATTTTCTCCTTCCTACCCAGGAAAGATGTTATTTTATTTTATTTTTATTATCATTTTTTTGAATAGGAGTCTCACTCTGTCACCCATACTGAAGTGCAATGGCACGCTCATGGCCACCACAGCCTCCACTTGCTTGGCTCAGGTGATCCTTCCACCTCAGCCTTCTAAGTAGCTGGAACCACAGGCGCATGCCACCATGTCCAGCTAATTTTTTGATTTATTGTAGAGACAAGGTCTCGCCAAGTTGCCCAGGCAGTCCTCTCGCCTCCACCTCCAAAGTTCTGGGATTATAGACATGAGCCACCATGCCTGGCCAGAGAATATTTTGACAGACATTCATTTTAGGCATCTAAAGGCAAATGATTATTTTAAATGTTAAAAATTATTTTAACATCAGGTTAGGAAATTATATAAGACAAAAACAATAAAATGAATAGTGTTCTTTGCCCAACCATTTGAGTTACGTGACAGTCATTACATCGTGGCATATTTTCATTGATTTTTATGCTTAAATTAGTTTTTTATAATTATAACCTTTTAATGAAACTTTAAACTTGAAATCAAGTCATATTTACATATATATGAATTTCACTCCTGTTTCTCATTTTCTAACTAACTAGCTTTCTTTCATGATGTTATTTGTGTAATATATTTCTTTTTATTTCTTTTTAGGAGTGTAGCATGTACTGTGGTAGAAATGCTAACTGAAAAGCCGCCTTGGGCTGAATTTGAAGCAATGGCTGCCATCTTTAAAATCGCCACTCAGCCAACAAACCCAAAGCTGCCACCTCATGTCTCAGACTATACTAGAGATTTCCTCAAACGGATTTTCGTAGAGGCCAAACTGAGACCATCAGCTGATGAACTCCTACGGCACATGTTTGTGCATTATCACTAGCAGCCAGTAACCTCTCCTGTGCCTCTACCCCGCTCCCACCTATTCATTGACCTTCTCTCTGACTGCACTTTTCTTTTTTTATAAAAAAAGAGAGATGGGGGAGAAAAAAGACAAGAGGGAAAGTATTTCTCTTGATTCTTGGTTAAATTTGTTTAATAATAATAGTAACCTAAATTTTTTATATTTAATCTTTTTTTCCTTACAAAAACTTGAAACTTCTTTTTTTTTTAATTTTTATAATGTACTGATGTGGTTCAGAGAGATAAAGCACTTTAGTACATAGTCACTCTTTTTAGTACAAATCATTTGGAATACCTAAAGATTGTAGAGTCTTTCTTGTATCACGGACATATCAGTGGTGTTTGGGAGACATGGAAAATAAGGAGAAGAAAATGATGTATAATTTGTAGTTTTTAGGGATAGTATTTAAAGTAGATCCTCATTTGTGAGGTTGAGCCCTAAACTTGAGTTTAGGGTAGAGGTACTCAAAGAATATAGATTCCTTCTTATGTCTGTATTCTTTAGATCCTAACCTCTGTCTACCAAGCATTTTGCTCAGTAGGAATCTTGATAGAAGATATGAATCTCTAAGAGGTATGTTTATTTGTTAACTCTAACCCGTAAAATAAGCAAATACACTATAATAGATCCATGTTACTGGAGTCTGTAAACCTTGAGGGATAGCTTTCTGCTTAAACAAAATCCTGTTTCATTTTAAAGTCAATGAGCAGATCCAAGTAAAAGTCAAAAGGAGATTGCTCTCGTTGTGTGTGAGCAGTAGAAGAAACCACATTTGCTAGTTAGTAGAAATAAAGAAAAAAAAAAGAACTGAGTATTTAGTGCATTTTAAACTATGTTCTTTACTTGAGGGGGCAAGTCCCAAAATTAAAGGAATGGAGAAATAATTAAAATCATGTATACTACCTTCCTACTTCTAGCTCCTGATTCTTCACAGATAACATTTTTAGTACCTAAGAGTTTGGCCAGGAGTATCCATGTGTTATGTCATGAGATGAAACCCTTGTTCTTGGGATCACAGAATATTAAAGTACCTCAAAAAAAATATCATGTAAACAGTTGTTGTCAATGGTGGAGCAAGCATAATTTCGCTTGGCATTTGACAATTCCTGGAGACACTTTCGGTTGTCACAACTCAAAGAATATTACTGGCATCTAGTGGGTAGAGGCCAGGGATGCTTCTAAATGAACTGTAATACACAAGGAAAGCTACCTTGCCCCTAAAGAATTATTCTGCCCAAAATGTGAAAAGTGCCAAAATTGAGAAACCCTGATGTAAAGAAATAGTCCCATTTATAAACTGAAAACAAGCATTTACAAATGCAAAAAAGTGAATTTCAAAGAGAAAGCGATGTGACGCAGAAGGATTTTACAAGAGCAGATACTGCTATTTTAAGTCAGGAGTGAATTATCTCAACAAATAGCCATCACTTCCTTACCAGCTGCATATTCCACCCAAATCAGTAATGCTTCCATTTTAGAAACAAAATGAATTTGAATACTGAAGCTTTTGAACTCAGCCATCTGTATATATTCTTTCCTTAAAATTCAGTCCATAATTTTGGGCAAAGAAAAGCATATCAAAACAAAGTGTTAACAACTGCAGGAAGGATAAAAAACTGCCAGGTATTTCTAGTACAACGTGTCCACGGAACGCAAGGATACTGAATGGAGCAAGACAACTGGGAAGGGTCCTACTGTCTCTAATGAAACTGTGCTCCTTAAACACATGAATAGATCAGCAGTTTGGCCACTTGCTGTTTTTTCAGCATATTGAAGCAAGTGCTAGGTACTTTATTTTTAAAGCTCTAGAAAATAATAGTCTTCCTGGAGGCCCTAAATGTGATGTCTTTCATGGGATTCATAAGGGACTCAGATATTCCTATTTTCTGCCAAAAGGTGTGCTTATTTAGGGACTCTTAGCATACTTTGTTTCAGAAGTTAGGTAGATCTTGGTCTGCTGTATCAAGGTCCTACCTGGCATTCCATGTAGGAATACGTGAAGTTCCACTAGCTAGTCTAAGAAGTCAAAGCACAAAATTAGTTGTCAGCGGTTGTCTCATACTCTTAAAATAAAAAGCAGCAGCTTGTAAGGAAGAACAAGAATTAGGTGCACCCCCACCCCCACCTTGGTAAATCAACTGCCAAATCTTGTGCTAACATAATCCTCAAGTGTGTGGATCTATTATAATTTCCTTATCTTTTATGAGTGTGGGCATCTTTTCTACTTGAGCAAGATCATGGTCTTTGGACCGGTGGGCTTTTCTTTATATCTTTGTCTTGTGTGGTTGTGATTTCCCTTTGGCTCCTTTTTGGTCTGTCAGGGTAACCAGCAGTGCAGAATATGAGACAAATGCTCTTTAGAGAGAAAGATGGGGAGATTGATTTTCTCAGTCTTCTTTTCCTTGTCTAAATGCTTTGGAAGATAAAGGCACCCGAAAGGAAACTGCTACTTTAACACTGCTGCAGAAGGCCTTTGCTTTATAAGGAAAATATTATTCATTATGGGAAAGTAATGTTCTTTATGTAAAGACTTAAAAACAGACTAATAGTTTATAGAGTTATTATATAAAATATGATGTGAATTTATTTCAGACAAGTTGTGAAGTACCAAAAACCACAATAAAAGTTAATGTATATAAAAACTACTAAGACAAAAAAACTTGAAGGTAGGTATGGGGAATATGGAAGACCAAACGTAAATTTGACTAAGAAGTTTTTGAAAGGAAGCAACTTTATCAGGGGAAGTTAAATAGAACACTCCGGTTTTTCCTTCTTTCTAATAATGGTATGGATCAACACATGAAATTTGAGCTTTTTAAGATGACTCTAAGTGTATTTTATTTCTTAAATGCACAACTGATTCTTCTGTACTGTGATGTTTCTTTGCTAAGGCTGGAAAATGGCCAGACTGCTGACTTTGTGCCTTTAAAATGCATTCTGCTTTGATAGTGGCAGACTTTTCGGTGCTGGAGAAGATTCACTAGCAGTCTTGCCTGTGCTTTTCAGGAAGTCTCTTTCTCCTTCGGCCTGGAGAGAGTCACAGTGGCATGACTTAGGCCTGGACCAAGTCTAAGGTCTTTCGCAAACAGACTGTGTTGAATAAAAGGGTTAAAACACACAACGACTTAGGGAAGTCTGGATGGATTGGTAATTTAAAATGTATCTAAGAGTATGCAGATTGAAAGTGTCAGTATGAATATTTTGAAAGTTTTCAGCACTTTTTCTTGTTTACAAAACATCTTTCTAGCTTTTAAAAAAATGACTCTTGCCTTAGGTTTTAAAAGGCACAGTCACCCTTACATGCCTAAATAAAAGACTGAAAGTTAATGAACTTACTGAACTATAAAGGAAACCCTAAAGGAAAATTTAAACTTTGATTTCAGAGTAAGTTGAATTGACTTTCACAAGAGAGAATCTTTACTGTATTCCCAATAAGAAACCACATTAAAAACATACAACTGTTTCTTTAGCATAGCTCTCTGCTACTCAAGCTCTTCTATATGTCAGGTCTACTCTGCAGTATTTCTGATATGGAGTTGTTGTAAGATACATGAAGTCACTAAGAAAGTAAAATCAAATCTGAGTAGTTCAGCAGAATGACCAAGCCAGATGCAGATGCCTGGGCCCAGGCAAAACTCTGTGCCAGTGATTTCATCTGAGATCTAGGAACCAGCACCTTGATATAAATCACCAGGTGTCAATCAAGTATACAAACCTATTCTTTTTTATTAATAGAATTGGTCTTTTTTCATTTGCTTGTTTGATAATTGTGACTTGTCATGTCAGGTACTAAATTAACATCCTTGAAGAGGTCACAGTCTAGGAGGAACATGGGCAAACAGTTACTTATTTTATGGCATATGATGTTTTAAAATGTTGTTATTTTTTATGAAGTAAGGAAAAAGCAATTTTGGGTAGTCACTGGCTGTTATAAACTGAAATGCCATTAACAGGGATTAGAGCAAAAGCATATCCAAATTGCAGGACTCCCCCTTCCCCAAACCAGGTCACACAGCCTCTCTCAGGACCCCTCTTGCAAAACCCAACCTCTATTCAAATAGTTCCAGTGATGGAGAGCATTTATTCCATAACAGTGTTTTTTGTTAGAAAAAGATACTTTTTTTTTTTGCTCTAAATTGTGAAAATACGCAAAACATTTGATAGAAATTAAACTCTGTCAACAGTGTTATTTATGATAAGATCAGGGCAATTTCTTGGGACCATATTGTTTTATCATTAGGTTTGGCCTTTCTTACAAATGTAATGTTCATATATGTTTAAATTTTAAGATTGGTTAAATGTTAATGAAAAGCAGTTCAATTGTTAATTTTTAGTAGTGCCTTTTTCTCTGTATGCCTTAACTTTATTTTATATTGACAGTAATTCAAGTTACCCACCAAAATGAAGATTTTTCCAAAATTAGTAGGCTTCCCAAATTCATTTGGCCTTAGACTGTTTATTGACCCTTAAACATTTCTTAATGCCTGCCTCCTCCTACCCTTTTCTACCTCCTTTTTTTTTTAATGTTAGGAGAGAAATATTAGCATTTGTTTGTGTTAGATATACTGCAGTCTCCACCAGAAGCAAATTCCTAAGATAAACATACAAAGAAACATAGTAAATTGTTTTCCAGGTTGACTACCTGCTTTCAGTCACATTGGCACCGTCGACGTTATTTGTATATCATGGTTCAGTTAGGGTTTTCCTAGCAGAGTTAGAGTGATTGTGTTGTGTTTGCCCAAAAGAAGTAATTCAAATGGCTTACCAATGTTGAGGCAATGAAACTTTCAGCTAACATTCTGACTAATGCTCTAGTTAACTTTTCTGTGGGGAGAGAGAGAAAGAGAGAGAGAGAGAGAGAGAGAGTGTGTGTGTGTGTGTGTGTGTGTGTGTGTGTGGTGTTTAAAGCTGGAGGTGGGGAAGGAAAGGAAGGAGGGAAAAGTAGGAATATTCAATTGGATCAGCTTCTGGTTTTGGAAAGACAAGTAAAAAATGTATGACCTACTAATGGTGGTTGAGTGGAATCATCCTTGGGTAGGAATGCCAGTGCATTTTCCACAAGTAGCTAGTACAAATGATTGTTTAAATAAAGATATTTATTGTGAATCGTCACACTCTTGGTCGCTGAAAGCAAATTAAAATTCACTTTGTGTGTATGTATAGTAATAAGCTTATATATTATTCTTAAATAGAAAGTAATTGATTTTTACATAGTTCCTTATTAACTCTTTGGAACAGAAATTCTGCCAGACATTATCAAAACACGCTTCCTTAGCTTACCAAGTATTCAAAAGAAAATTCTTTTATACCTCTTTTTGGTTGGCTAGGGGAGGCGTGCTGTGAAGCTGCTGTCCCTGCTTCACTGTCGTGTGTTGCTTGGCTTTGGCTTCTGCCGTGGTGTAGACAGGATGCCACAATAGGTGTGGAAAGTATGAGAGCACGTCTCCCGTACTCACCTGCCAGAGCTGTAGATGGTAATGGGCTCTTGGGAGCCTAGAGAATCATTTCTCAGTGGTGATGTAAGCAGTCAGGATTGAGCTTCAGAAAGGTAAGGGAGGAGTCCAGCTACAGTAAAGGATAAATTTCATCTGTTGCTTGTATATGGTCTCATGTAATTCATCATATTTTTTATAATTGTACATTTTAATGAACAGTCACATAGCATGTTTTGTTAGTAACAGCCAACGCATTGTCAGTGAGTACCATTATTCCCTCTCCTGATGACTTCTTGTTTGTAATACAATCTGTATTATCAGAATCACTTTAAACCAAAGCTTTTATATATATTCTCTGCACACATAGCCAAAATAATTAACACTGTTACTTTTGCCCATGTATGAGCGATTAGTATAAAAATAATAAAGCAGGTACCAGTAGAATTTGTACCCTGGTCTATCCTTCAAGGAAAAGGACAGGCGCTCAGTGTTTGCATTTAGACATGCAGAATTTACTTCCGCTATTAAGGAACTATATAGACATTACAAATTTAAGCTTGTACACGTGCCAATCTTATTAACATCACTTGACTATAGATGCACACAG